TCACGTCCACGCAGCTTTCCCTTAGCCACGAATGAAGCCTGGGCTCTGAGCCCACCCTGGGGATGGGAAGGGACCCTGACACTTAGAAGGGTTTAGGCACAGAGCAGCAAGACTGTGATTTACACGGGTCTGTGCACAGCTGCAAAATAAATTTTCCATATTTCAGTAGAAATATATTCCTTCCCAGGATATGTTTGTCATAGCAAAAGTGCATAAATGCATCTAGATACCTGGAGCTGTTGCAAATAATTCCCATCAGAGCCATAAGCAGTTAGTAAGTTGTTTCCCCTTGCAAAATATCCATTTCTTTTTATTTTTTCTCATAGGTGAAAAAAAGAAAGAAAAATCCCTCCAATCCCATGACGTGATGGCAGTCACTCCCCAGCCGGAGGCAGGTGAGTGGGGTGCCGGCTGGGCTTCATCCAACACTGTAAAGGTTTGCCCGTGGTTTATTTAATCCCTTGCACGTATCAGACACATTCCTGAGCCATCAATCAGAGCTGAGTCAGCCAGCGTGACTGGTCTGGTTTTTTTTTTTGTTTTTTTTTTTTCAATCACAAGTTCTCTAGCCTTGTTTGCCAGCAGTGAGCTGGGGTTTTTTGGTGCTTTTTTTTTTAAATGAAAATGGGACTTGACTGGGAGCAGGGAAATGTTCCCGCTGTCAAGTATAACCTTTAAAGCCGCCCAGCCTCAAGGAACATCTCTTGTCTGCAATACTACAAAATGCATCACATGAAAGAAAAATAAAGGCTGCTGCCTGGGATGGCATTGGCCCACGAACCCCATCCTTGCGTGGCTCTCCTTCACGACACAAGCTCCACCGTGCCCCTGCAGAAATAAAAAGCTTTTTGCAGGGGGTGTTCTCTTGCAGAGCAACCTTGAAAGCGTTGCCCACAGCCACGCTCTGGGAGGCAAAGCCTTCTCCCTGTGCTCCCCCTGCAAGGATAAGGTTATCACGGCTTCAAATCAGCCCCTGCCTACCCGGGGAAGGCAGAGGAGAAGTGCTGCTGTTGTGGCTACACGTAATCTCAGCCCACCGCAGCGGGCTGCTTTATCGAAGCCCCTCGCATCCTTTGCGGGACACTCTGCAAGGCAAGGCTACACTCCCTGCCCTAAAATACGGCAGGAGCATTTTGTCTCTGCTTGGGTCAAGGAGACAGCCAGGTTGCTGGAGACTTAAAAAATAAAAAAAAAAATTAAAAAAAAAATATAATCGTGGTTTCTGGCTTTCTCGGAGAGCATGGGTCCTCCCTGCCCCCAGGATGCTTGCAGAGGGATGAGCATCACCCTAGAGCCTCACATATTTGCATGCAAGCCTAGGAAAAAAGGTATTGCAGATGCCTCAATCAAGCTTCAAATCAGAGACCCCCCTCTCCGTGGTGAGGGGTCCTGTTGCACAGAGCAATCAGGAGAAGGGAGAAGGCAGACGGCCCCTGTGCATCCCGGCTGCATTGCAGCAAGTCCCAGCCTAAAACAAGGCTCAATCTGCTCCGAAAGCCCAGGGAAGATCAGAGCAAGGGTTGCACATCAGCCAGTGGCAGCAAACCACAGAGCTGAGCTTGAATACACGGTGGTCCACACCTTTTTTCCTCCTTTGCTCCTTTAACAAGCTTTCAGAGGCACAACTGCTTGAGGGGGAAAAGCCTCCAACCACACAGGGAGCATCCATCCAAGATGTGCTCCAGAGCATCGCATCCAAATTACGCCTTTCCCTGCCTCCCCCTCTTCTTTTTCTTTGGACTCAGAGAAAAAAAAAATAAAATAAAAATAAAGCAACAACCAACTTGGTGGGGAATTTTACAACTCTGCTTGCAGGTGGCATCTGCTGTTTTCTTACCTTCAGGGCAAAGACAGCCGTGATCTCAGAGGACAGCTCTTGTCCAGCCCTTGGGTTTCATTTAGCATCATTTTAAGCAGGTATTTTATTTCAACAGTACTAGGTTTGAATGCCTAGTCCTGCCTAACTTGCAGCCTAGGTGAACACTTGCTCTAAGTAGGTCTCAACACTTGGTTGGAGGAACAACACTCTCAACTCCACTGATAATCATAGAATCATTTAGGTTGGGAAAGACTTTTAAGATCATCAAGTCCAACCACCAAATGATGAGCTCTTTACTCACCATACCAGAAACTTAAAATTGCTGTAACGTGGTCAGAAAAAAAAAAAAAAAAAGGATCAAGCCATAGGATCCAAATGGTTTCTCTCAGAGCTGATCCTCAGAAAATCCACCGTGAGGTCAGGAACACATGTGCAAGACAGGACAGCATGGCACATGCTGACCCTTGGGGCCACCGAGCCACAAGCGAGACAGGCCTGAGAGTATAATGCCTAACGCAAGGAAGAACCAGGTCACGTCTGTATTTCAACAAGATATTTTATTGGTCCAGCAACTGCAAAATATACAAATTTCTGAAAGGCATACCCTGTTTTTAAGCTGGCACAGCTTTATATCAGGCAATTATTCCAGACGTATATACAGAACAGTTAACATACCACAAATCAAAAAAAAAAAAAAATCCCAAGTAACTACCCTTCTCTCCAAGCTTTGCAGTATACATTAAATAAATAGAGCGCTTTGCTATCAAAAAAATAATAAAAAAATAAATTCAAGTATCACAAAGGAAAACAAAACCAGAAAAAAAAAAAGGGGGTGGGGAAGAAATCATTGGTGTGGTTTGACAAGTCCCCTCTCCCCACCCGCCTTGGCTGCAGCATCGCTACCTGGTCCTTGGCTGTTAACCAAAACCGACGGGCAGCGAGTTTCTGGGGCAGCGTGATGGCATGGGGCTGACACCATCCCACCTACCGCCAACCCCTCCAGCACGAGAGGACTTCTCGGCTGCTCAGAGACCAATTTTTCCCTTGCTGGAAAAAATATCAGGTTCAAACGTCATCTTTTTGTAGACCTACCAAGACCTCTGTTAGTCCCAAAGGAAGAAAGTTTAGGGTCATTAAGTTTTTTGCGGTTTGTTCTTTTTTTTTTTTAATATATATATTTTTATTTATTTATATATATACACACACACACACAAATACACACCAAAACATCTGCAGAATTACATGTGTACCGGATTGATCACGGGGCAGTCAGACGTCATGTTTACATTCGCCAGCTTATCTTTTCGTAGCAGGAGGAGAAAGATAAAACTCCCCAGGAAGGAGGCTGAAAAGACAAGTGACTCGCCTTCCCAAAACATTCATTTTTCTCAAAGTCAGAGAAACCGAAAGGGCAGATGTCAACTGTGTGCACAGGGAGAAGCCTGCTTTTAGTGCGGTTATTAAAAAAAAAAAAAAAAAAAAAAAAAAAAAAAAGAGGGGGGGGAAGTGTTCTTTATTTCATCTGTACAGGAATATAATACACATATGCACAAGCTCACACAGGCAGGGCACTGCCGAGACGGTCCCCCCCAGTCGGATATGGACCGAGCTCGGTCCCGGCCCCCTCCCGCCATCGGTGCCGCTCCAAGCACGCGCTTTGGCTGCACGAGGCTGAAGCGCTAGGCACTGTGGTTCACCTTTTCCCAAAGGAAAAACAGACCAAACCCCCCAAAAAACATACACATGAAAAAAATTTAAAAATAAAAATAAAATTAGAAAAAAAAAAGAAAAATCATCATTTCTCCCCAAACCTCTCTGCTCCCATCTGTAGGGATGTTGTTTCTTACACAAGGGGTTGGGAAAGCCATGGGAAGGATGAAACGAAAGGGCTGCCCATCTCCAATCCCCCAGCCCAGCACTGCAGGAGAGCTTGGCTGCCTTCACCTCCTGCCTCCAGCTCAGCCATGCAGCCAAAAAAGTATGAGATGGGGATGAAGGTGATGCTGCACGTAGGAGTGGGAAGGGGGAAAAAAAAAAAAAAAAAAAAAATCACAACCCAAAACCCGAAAAAAACAACCCCCAAAAAACAACCATATTCGAAATCCACAGACTTTTGCACAAAGCAATAGTGGTTAATTGCCATTTTTAACCACTGTCTCGCAGCCCGGGACAGGCTGCCAAGAAGGGATCTTGCGTTATCAAACCACTGGGAGCTGGCTGATGGCGGTGTCTCAGTCAGGACTTTGCCCCTTTCTCCCTCCACATACACATCTCGAACACCATAACTACTATTTTTTTGTAGTCCCAGCTTTCCAGCATGCAAAATAAAAAAAAAAAAAAATAAAAAAAAAAGTTGCCTGTATTCAGGCTTCCCTGTGAAGGGGCACGACTCAAAAAAAAAAAAAAAAGTTATGCTCCTGCCACAAATAAAGTGCAAAAACCAAGCGGTTTCTAGATATACACATATACGCACACATGTATGTGTGCATGTATATATATTAAATAAAAAAAAAAAAAAAGAGAACACAGACAAAACCGTCCCTTCTTGTGGCTTTTTGCAGCCACTCAGGGACTTCTGCATTCCGGCCAGACCTCTGGCCACCTCCACGAGACCTGTGTGTCTGCAAAATCCATCCAGCTCAGCCCATCCACCCGCTAGACAATCCTGGGACGATGCAGGGATTCAACCCCCCCTGCCAAACTCTCCGCTTCCCTCCAAGGCAGAGGAAAGGGGAGATGAAGTACTGGCACAGCACCTCAACCGGTGCTCAGTCTCCCCAAAAATCGACACGTGCCCGAACTCAGACCATCCCTGGGTGCTCCCCGAGATGAAAGCATCACCCGAGCCAGCATCAGCGTGGGTCCCTCTACACTACAGGCAGCTCACAACCAGTTTTAGAAGCAGATCAACATTCTCTGCAAACCCCTGTAAGGTGTATTGATTAAAAAAAAAAAAAAAAAAAATGTTTTGGGGGGGTTTTTTTTGTTTTGTTAAACCCAGCAGTTCTTGCTGTGGAAGACTTCACACAACTGCCTTCCTGGTGCTCACAGGCCTGGGTGAGCCGGGCTTGGGTGTGCAACAGGTTGTAGCGTGGGTAAAGGACTGCAGCACAGCACATTAGAGGCTTTCTTGAAGAGTAATTAATAATAATTAAAAAAAAAAAAATGCAAAACCCCTTCACTCCCCACCCCTTTCCCCTATTTCTCTGCTAACCCTGCACCATCCACATATATACACCCCACCCAGAGACGGATGGGTACCAATCGTCTATACAAAAGGAGATCAAAACCACTGACAGAAGAAAATTAAACTCCTGTGCGCTAGAAGCACTTTACAGCTTGCTACGATTTAACAGGACGCCAGAGAGGAGAGCAAATGCTGCAGCCTAAAGAGCTGGTGGTGACCCTGGGGAGCTTGGCTCCTCTCCTCCGCTCTCCTGCATCTCTCCCCCCTTCAGCAGAGCGGTTTGCAGATGAACGGGCGCGGGTAGAAACAGCCGAGGGTCGACCTCACCGCAGACGGAGGAGACCGGTTTATAAGCAAGCTTCGGAAATGGTGATGGGATGGGAAGCTGGCGTCGCCGGTGACGTCGCTGGTGGCCTTGCGACAGCGCCAACAGAGTCACAACGGCTTCTGCGAGTTGTTCATGTTCTGCAATGAGAGGGGAAGGACCGGGGTTGGGGGTCACGCTTGGGTCGGACCCCATCCCGGCAGCATCTTCTACGTGCACGTCAACAAGGGGACTGGGGGAGTAACAGAAAGCCACAGCACGGGTCACTATGAAAGCATCCACCACAGAGGAGAGGACACTGTCCACTCAAGGAGGCAGGTGGGGGGGGATGCGCTGACTTGGTACCCACATCCCTCCCCTCCAGCATCACCTGGCTTTAACTACAGGGTGGGAATTTGGCAGAGATGTCCCTAAAAACTGAATTAAAAACCAAGACAACCCTCCCACCCCACCTGGTCTGCACTTCTGAAGCTGCTCTTTGGTCCATGCAAGGCAAGGTGACAGGGGACCACAGTGTTCATTCAAGGAGCCCAATTAAACCCTTCTCTCTTGCTCCTCTTGAGGGTGGGCAGTGTCCCCCAACCGCCTACCAAGGAGATCACTGTTTGTCCATCCTTGGCACTGCCAAGAAGACGCAGCTCATGCCACCTGCGCCAAGGAGTCAGCATGGGGACCAGCTGCTGGCAGGAGCGCCTGCTCCCCCGATGACACCCCATGAGGTTTCATGGGCCCTAGAGCTGCTTCAGACACAGCCCTGGTACAGGGTGATGACAACGGGCACCCACCAGTGCATGGGGAGGACCACAAAACCAGAGACAACCAGCTAAACACAAGCAGGACCAGCCGCGAGGGTGGTGGCTGGAGGAGAGCATCTGCTAGAGGAGGAACCCAAGGGAAGATGATCACAACAAGAACATTGGCCAATTCACAAAACTACACGAAACGAGGTGGGGGAAAAAAAGGACTAGGAAACAGCTAGGAAGGTTTCTTGACTTTTTTGTTTGTTTCGTTTTTTTGTTTTTACTACCTAAACTGCCTCTTACAATCACCAAGAATCCCGGCCAGGCTACGAGGCAGAGTGGGCTGAGCCATTCTCTCTGTTATCTAAGGAGACAGGAGGAGGGTTAGGAAACGCCACATGCACCACAGCCATTTACCTTGGAAATATTAGTAAAGAGAAAACTTTGAGAAAGTGACAAACGGGTCGCCTTTAAGCATGAAAAGTGAAGGGGAAGAAGAAGGGAGGGGATCAGGTTGTTGTTAAAAAGTGCACTTTGGATCACAAACCAAGCAAAACAAAACGAAATCATCGCGCCAGGTACTCCCACGACCCCAAACCAGCTCGATCCCACAGCCAGGAGGACTCTGAGGTACACAGCCATGACCCCAGCCTCTCCACGTGTACCCTGGTCCTCCTGGATGGTGGTCAAGACCCCAACAGTGAGGGCTGATACAACAAAACACCCACTGCCAACCAAGTCCCATGGTGCCAATTAGGAAAGAGGCACCTTCCACCTCCCCTGACCCCATACAGGTTGTGGTGGGACACAGTGAGGGACCAAACGCACGCATGTACGAGACAACAGCCTCCAAGAGAGGTGACAGCGGTTTGAGTGCCACCAAGCCTTTGCTTTGGGGTGTCTTCGTGGCTGCCTCAAAAGCAGGCTTGCAGTCCCACACTAGTAGGTGGAGGCAGGGTCCCTTCAGCTGGAGATCTTAAACTTGCTGCTGCCAGCCTACACCTGGGATGGGTAACCATCACCGCCTGCTCCAGCAGAGCTCTCAGTCTAGCAAAATCTGAGGCAGCCATCTCCCAAACTCAACATCGGAGCACGTTTTCAGTGTCCCAGCCAGCACTGAGGCATGCAGTACTTTTTATTACAACATGGATGGGAAAAAGCTGGATGGAGGGATGGACAAAGAAACAAAAATGCTCTCAGAGCAACCCAAGAAGACCAGGCACTTCTTCGGGGGCTTTTATGCCCATGAGCAGCAAGGGAAAGAGCATAGACATGCAGGCCATGCTGAGCAACTCAACTGCTACATTAGCCCAGGAGCATGAGTGTGATGATCTTCCCCAACCCATCCACCAGCAAAGCCAAGTCTGACCTTCCTAACTTCCCTTTTTTCAAAAGCGTTGACTCTAAAAGGGGAAGAAACGTGAGTTTCGCCAGCTGTGACATGCAAGCAGGACTGAGTTCTGGCCTGGCCATTTTATAGGAAATCCTTCCATCTTCAGCCCACGAAATGAACCAGGACAGGGATGCACATAGGCTGATTGCCTATAGGCTGTCTAGTCTCCCTGGTCTTTGAGAAGACATTTGAGCACAGCTCAATGACCGCTGCTTTCAACTCAGTGACGTAGCACAAATTAAGTCCAAAGGCTTCACGTTTATCCAGAAGCTGTCCTGTCTCTATTACACAAGGATCTAGCAGCACTAAGCCAAACTGTCAAAGCCTTGATTATTCACAATTAGTGCATTAAATGCTCAAGGCATCTTGCTTTCTTAATAGAGGGAGAGGAGGACAATATCCTTGCACCTACTCTGCCCAGGACATCTAGGCAGGCTGTTCCCAACATGCAGGTTTGCAGAACTGCAGATGTCAGGACCAAGGATCAGTCTGGCTCCAGAAAGCACACTCCTGCTCCCACGCAGGCAATAAAACCCTGTTGGGGGCTGAGGTCAGAACCTCCTTAGATGTCTTTCTGGTGCTGTCACTCATAGACACAACTGGGAGCCCTTGGGAAGGACAGGCCACCTGGGTCTATCACCTACAGCACAATGTGCTATTGGAGAGGAGAGAACTCCAGGAAAACCCAACAGCATCTCCCATCCTGTGACTGTCCAAGGAGGAGGCAAGGAATTTTGACATCATCAATAGAGGGCAAGTGATAATTTGCTTCATTTCTCAACAAAATTGGGACATTTAATCAAGCTAGGATACTTAGGGGTTGGACAAAGAGGCATCATCCATAGTCTCCTCTTTACCCTTTCTAAGATGTATGCAAATCCCCCACACACAGAGAAATATCAACCCCAAGAAGTCCACACCCCGGCTGGGTTTCACAGCAACAACAGAACAACCGGTGGGATGGCAAGAGACATGGAAAGGGGGTGAAAGGAGGAATAAGACGCAAGAAGGTACTTACAGGCATGCCTTCCCTAGTAAAGGCTGCAGAGAGACAGAGAGAACGGAGAGAGAGGTGTCAGTAACGCCGCGCGAGACCGGGCAGAGGACACTGGACGGCAGCGAGGGGCACCTGAACAGCAAGAGCTTCCAAACCCGAAGCCAGTAACGGGTTTGTTACAAGACTCAACCAGTCCAAGCGGAGCCCCAAAAACCAAGAGACCAAGTTGTCCCACTCAGTCCTTGCTGGGGTGGGAAGGCTCATGCAAAGCGGGCACCAAGCAGAGCAGTCGGAGGAGCACGGCACTCTTCCTAACCTGCCCGGGACCTGGCCAAGGAGGGACCAGAGGACACCAGACAACACAGACAATGCGAAGAGGGGCTGGGCGAGACAGCGCGATCCAACAGGCAGCTGGTGGCAAGGGCAGCACGGCGAAGGGGCTCCTATATATATACATATGCTACTTCTCCAGTACCACCCCAGCTCCTTAATGAGCGCAGGAAGGGGGGTTTTGTTCCCGGAGAAGCGTGCGGCAAGCGAGGTCTCTCTTTCTACATCCCTTCATGGGTGGGTGAAAGAGGAGAGGACACATGAGCATCACGGCAGCTACCCAGGGGTCTCACCCAGGGCTGCAGAAGGCAGCTGGGTTCACCGTGCCAAGAGGCTTCTACCCATTTTTGGTCCATTTTGCCTATTGCTCCAGGAAGGAGGAGACCCCTCCAGCCAAAGATAAGTCTTGGCAGCTCCTTCCCGAGGGAAGCACAAGAACATTTGCTTTATTGCAATGCCCAGGTCTACACCAGAGCCGAGCGCATCCAGAGGGAAGGCACGAGCCCTTTGGTCCTGCCCGCTCTAGAGATGCGGCTTCTCAGGAGGTTGACACCACGGTGCCAGATGGTGAAGGCACTAAATTAATGCAGCCTAGAGCTTTGAGGGGGGCGGGTTATGATGCTCTCAAAACCCGAGAGAGGATCGACAGCGACCCTTCGCCAGGTGCTCCCGAAACCAACCCAAGGCAGGGAGGGACAGCAGCCGTGGGAGAAAGATGCATCTCAGAGACAGCAGCACAGGTTGCGACAAGTGCAAGCCGTTCCCCAGCTTCAGGAGCGACAGGAGGACGACAAACAATAAAACAACAGGAATAACAACAAAAAAAAAAACAAAACAAAAAAAAAAAAAGAGTTCAACTAACTTGTCCCGGTAGCTGCGTGGGCACTTCCTGAGGAACACAGCCTGGCAGGGCGGAAGAAACAGCCACATGCTCCTCAAAGCTGTTGATGCGAGGTTTTTTGGTGGGCTCTGGGCTTGCTAGAGGGGTAACGCTATTACGTCTCATGAGCGGGTTAGGTCCCTTCTTTGCTTCCTAAATTAAAGTGAGACAAAGACAAAAAAAGTAAATAAAAAAAATAAAATAAAGGGAAGAAGGCGACAGTTATAAAGGAAAAAAAAAAAAGAAGCAGGTTCTTTTGGTTTTTTTTTTCTTAAAGCAGCCTCTGCTTTTCCCCCAGTCACTGTCAACGTGCAAAGGATGCATTGAAAGGCTCTGGACACCGAAAAAAACCCCAGACGCAAAACGTTCAAGAACTCAGCATGATTTCCTAAGAAGGGGAAGGGGCGGGGGAAGAAAAAAAAAAAAAAGACCCTGCACTCAGAAACGAGACAGACTTTCTCCTCACCTGAGCCTCTGCTCACAAAAAAAAAGTAAATACAGATTGCTAAAAAAACCCTAGCAGTAATCAAAAGACATGACTTTGCACAACAGAGATTGGCGCCCATCGGTCTCCTCCTCGAAGCCGGTCCCTCCAGCCCAGGGAGAGATGTGAAAGCAAGAAGAGGGAAGATGAGCCAGCCCGGGCTGATAAGAAGATTTGGGAAGTGGGGGCAGAGCAGCCAGCGAGGGTCGGAACCACGGCAAGCTCCAACTCAAGCGAGGCGGGATGGAGGGGCAGCACCCGCGCAGCCGAGCAGAGGGACCCAAGCGCTTCGCACATGTCTCGCTCTGTCCTACCCGCGACCCTCCTGCCATCCCCAGCGAGGGTGCTGGAGGAGGACATCGATGGTCCCCACGGCACGGGGAAGGACCGGATCCCCCCACCCCGTTACGGCCACGGGGAGGGAGAGGCAGCTCAGATGCTGCCGCCTGCTGAGGTTGGGAAGTGAAGGAAAAGGAGATGGGGGCCAAAAGGGGATGGTTCCGACCGTCCAGTTGGGCTCCATCACCGCTAAGTGCAAGTTGGAAAGGTCCCAGAGGCTGGGACATGGGTGCTGCCAGGGTCCCTGGGGTCCCCTTTGGGTGGCTGCCCAGCCCCAACACCAAGCTGGTGTCCCCCTGCTCTGGCCTCCGAGCTCCCGGTGGAGCACGTGGCAGATGGACCTGACCTTACGGGAGTTTTCCTCCACGTGAGGGGTCTCCTCCCCGCAGCACCCCACCGCCACCTCCCCACCCTACAGAACGGTACTCTGGTAGCCCCACAGAGCGGTGGGCATACCAGGAAAAAAAGCCACAAAGGCAGATGTTGGGCAAAGTGTTGAGCCTGGGCTCTGCCAGCCAGCTGGGAGATCTGGGAGAAGTCACCTTCTCCATCTGTGGCTCCATTCCCCGCTCGGGCGAGTGGATGACTGCACAGGTGAAAGTCAAAGACCAGGGAGGAGTTTTCCCTGGGCAAACATATTGGGAAGCAGGCACATGCAACAGTCCTTTTCCCTTGGAAAACCCTCAACTGGCTATGTCTTTGCAGAGCAAGAACCCATCTGATGCTCCAGTCCTCCAGCAGCGCTTCCAAGCATCCAACTGAGCCATCTCCCCATGCCCACCCCGGGCATCCTCGCTGCCAGCAGACCATAGGGGAAAGGAGGGGGACACCAAGGGACAGCTCTGAGAAGAAGGAACACTCACCTCTGGCCGTTCCCTGTGGGTGTTAACGGCTTCGATGTTCAGCGAGATGGACTCCACCCGGCAGCCTGCAGAAGGGAGCACAAGGAGACAGAGCAGCCATCAGCAAACCCAACGAGCCCAGGATGCCACCCCAGACCCCTGCTCTTCTCCCACAGGCAGCGTGGATTCAGGAGGAGGTACAAGTCAAACCCCTTGGCACGTTTAGTAGAAAGGTCCCACTTACCATAGGCCACCGGGGTCAGCTTCAACACTGTGTGAAGGGGACATTTCAGGTAGGGCATTTCATCTGCAGAGAAAGCAAAGCAGGAGGGTTATCCCATCCCCTCTCCAAAAGCAGGCTCAGACATCTTCCTCAACAGCCAAAGCCATGCCACATCAGAGATGTATGCTCCAGGCCCTGCATGGCCCCGAAAACATCTCTCATCTCCCCAGAGCTCTGTCTATCATCCCTCCTCCAGCAGGATCAATCCCCTTCCAAGGGACGGGGAGCCCACCTGCGCTCTTGTCAAGGAAGTACGCCAGGAGACAGCGCATGACAGCCTGGTGACAGATCACAAGGACGTTCTCTTGTCTCTCCAGCTCCATGATGACCGGCTCTAGGCGCTGCACCAGATCTTGGTAGGACTGAGACAGAAGAAGGGAAGGGAGATACAGCATAGAATCAAGGAAACAAGGACCTCATAAGAAGTGACAGTCGTTGTCTTTGTCCATCTATTGATTTCATGCCTCTAACTAAACTAAACCAACATAATTACTGCTAAAAACAAGAGAAGTTCAACAAATCCTCATCTTCAGGCTAGCCTAGAACATAGCTACTTCTTCTGATCAGAGGAGAAAAAGCCATTCACATCTCAGTTACAGTCCTGGAGAGTTTATTAAGGTAAGCAACAACTGCAGAGCAGCTTTGAGCATAGTGTCTCCCTATCATCCTGAAATTTGATTTTCTATAGGATTTCTAAGTTCGGAAAAGTCTGGAGCATCCTGAAAGTCTCCAGGGTTTTGAGCAACTTCATAAAGAACCATGACAGGCAGCCAGAAGGAGCTCCAGACACCCAGCGTCAGTGTCAGACATCCCCGAACATTCTCCTGTTAGACATGCTGTCATTGGGATGTCTCCAAAGATTTATTTTTCCCAAATGTCTATGGATGTGACTTAATCTGGGGACAAAAAGCTCAGTTCACAACCTAAAGTATCATCCAGAACTGATGTCAATTCCCACCTCAGCATGTCACACCCCAAAGCAGATCACATTCCCCATGCCAGGAACAGAGATACCAACAGCAACCCAAGAAGTAGAAATCCCTTCTTTGATGAAATGAAAAGGAAATCGGCGCAGCACAACACTTTGAGTGGATGTAAAATGTTGGACTAGAAACCTCCAGAGCCCCCATTCTACTAGTTTGCTATCAAGTCAGTGGGGCTGTTTATTAAGCGATAGGTTTCTTAATAAGATCTTCACGCACCACGATTTCACAAGAGCTCAATATAAAAGGTAAATGGGAGCCCTGACCCTTCTTGATTCCAGTTTCTTGGAGCACTTGCTGCTCCCCTGCTCCAAGTGTAGAGGACAGCATGAAGACAAGAAGGCCATGTTTAAAGTAAGAGTCACATCTCTGAAGGTATGTATCCTTGCAGACCTACCTCCCCAGAAGGATAGCGGTAGTAATATTTATCTTGATCACGTAACGCAAATTCCTCTGGATGCTGCTCCCTGATTTCTTCATACGACATTTCTTCACACACACCCTGTCAGAACAGGACATCCATGAGTTTACTGGACGTGCTTAAAAAGCATGAGCACACCCAACAGGCAAAACCTTCTCCAAAGCAATTGTCTATAACCTTTTGAGTGGTCAGCTACAGAGCATTTCCAAGCAAAAATCATTTTAATCTACTTGCTCAAGTCAACATCTTGACACATCTGCACAAGGTAATGCTAAGATCAGAAGCCACGTTGTGAGTACTGCAGCAGAAAAAGTACCCTTTGCCACAGAAGGAAAATCTCCCCACAGAAGGTGAGATTTAGGCAAAAGCGAAAAGGCTGGTGCTATCACCCTCTCTGCCAAGCAGCAACCAGCATAATCTAGCTGTTCCTACTGCAATCAAAGATACTTACAGCATCTATTTCATTGAGTGCCTTCCACTGCTCGTAGGGCAGTTGGAGAGCTTCTGCCGTTTGGATCGTCCTCTTTAGTTGGCTGGTCCAGACTTTGAGGTCCTTCAGGTTCTGCTCCTCAACAAACTTGTTCAGTGCCAGTGCAAACTGTGGGCCATAAAAAAGAGGTTGATTCCTGATCCACAGCTTCCCAGTAAGCTGCCTGCTTCCCAGTAAATGTTGCCTTCTCCAGGTCCTTCTCCAGGACCTCTTTTGCCTTCCATAGGCAGACATACTAGCCTTCTGCTCTGAGGTGAAGAGCAGCTTCACACACGTTCATCCCCAAAAGCTACGAGGGGTATGAGAACAGAGAAAACAGCAGAGGAGAAAGCAGCAACCTAACATCATCAAAGAACAACATCAGCACCCAAGAAAAAGCACAACAACCTGGGCTCTCCTACAATGCTACGGAAGAACCCTGGCCACCCCTAACCACAGCTCTGCTTATTTGTCTTAGAGCTAAATCGATGTATCCTGTAGTCCTTAATAATAGTCACATGACTCCATTTGGACTTCAAAATCATCTGGCAAGCCGAAATAGCTATTAACCCTCCCTGAAGCAGTGCGCTTGACCATGTCTTTGAAGAATCAAGCAGCAGGCAATCTGAGAGCACCCTCGGAGTTGGCTATCCCTACCGAAGGGTGGCAGCAGTCCTTGTACATCCCGCCCAGCTTGTGCAAGGTCTGAACCAACCCGATGAAGATACTCATACCTTTCTCTCCTAGAGATTTCTGCAGTCCAACCTCTGTTAACCCCTAACTACATGCAAGCCTACACGCAATGTTGATGGCTGGAAAGTCTTGTTTTGAGGACGTGCCCGAGCCCAAATTTAACCAGCCCTATAGATGGATCCTCTGAGCAAGCCAGCTGTCATCAGATATGCACTTAACCCAATGTATGGCATCTGCTACAGCAGAATCACCCCTAGAAGCCATAGGGGAATATTCCCTTCCCCCTTACCTTCTTGCCCCTGTTGGAGAGGCCCGAGTCACCTCCAATCTTCCCCTTGAGGTTGGACTCGCACTCGCCGTGCCGACAGAGATAAATGGTGCGGGGCTGGACATGAATGTTCATCAGGTAGTAAACGATCCTGCTCTGGATGTGATCCTGAACCCTGTTGACCAGGAATCGCCGGCCAACATCGATGACTTTGATGAGAGAAAGCTCCCTAGGAAAAGCACAGCAAGGATAAGGGGGTTGCCAGTGTGGAAAGCAGAAAGAAAGAAACGCCATCCTTGAAAAACAGCCTTGTGAGGTATCTCAGTCAACATAATCACCCAGCTAAAAGGATTTCCTGCAGGCTATTTTCAACAGGAAGCCAACAGGTAACGGCGATTCATGAAGAGCTAAGTAACACCAGTGTAATCGCCATTCCTCCTTGCAGCAGTAAAGAGGATTAAACAAGACTAGCAGGGAGCACGTTCCTCTCCAGGACAGGGCTCAGCAGGACCAGGATTATCCAGACAGGGCACACAGACGTATTTGTGAGCAGTGGAAAGGCTGGGAGGTGCCTGCATCATCATGCAAGACAGCAAAGGTCTTCCCAGGGCACACAGCTAGGTGGAAACCACAGGGCTTGCTCAACCTTGTGGTTTGAGCCTGTTCAAGCAGTCCCTTCCTTTAACTGACAAAAGCTTCTCAGAAGCACTCAAACCTTTGTATTTAGACCCGCAGAACCAGCATATCTGAGCCCAGAAGAGCCTGGGAAGGTTTCAGTGCCTGGCTCCCTGGCACAGGGCTGGGGAAAACCAGCATTTTCAAGGAAGACAACGAATTCATGATGAGGCTTGGCCATACATTATTCTAGTGCAGTCACATATTTGAAGTGAGATACAGCTCCATACTTCATTAGCCTTCTCCTGGGAGAAGAAAGGCATTCAAGCCGGTTCAGAAGTCAGCAAAGTTTCCTACCGGTCATAGTCATCAGGGTCGAGCGGCTGGTAGCTGGCTTGGTAACAATTTATCCTCTTCATGAAGTCCTCCATGGCATCGGTCGAATTACAGTCCCGGTAGTCAGGGCTGGACAATTTTACTTCCTGCGACAGGGGGAAAAACATGCCGCAAGGAGAGGTTAGGAAGCTTTCCAAGCCAGAACATGCTGATCTCAAATTTCAAGTCCTGCCAAGATCCAGCTATCAGCTGAGCCATTTATAGTCATCACTTACATCATATTACAGAAAAGAAGCAAACTAGACCCAAAACTAAGCACAAGGTGAGAAAATCAGGTATAAACCATTGCATGACTGGTATAGATACATATCAGTCCACTCAAGTTCTCTCAAGAGTTGGGGTAGCATCCCACCACCCAATACAGTGGGGAAACTGAGCTTTCTTATGGCTAAAGAAAAGGATCAGGTTTAAGCAATTCAAGCTGAGAATGGAAAGTGCATGCGCTTAGACAAGATGCTTATCCTGGGCCTTTTGAGTGAATAAAGTTCCCAGGAGTTAGGGGTCAACCTGGCTGTCCACCATCTGAGATAGCAGGATAACAACTTTCAACCCCTCTCTGTGCATTATTTGCTACAAGCTACTGGGCTGCAAGATGCTAGAAACAGGCGATGTGAATATCCAGAACTCTCATGGACTAAGCTTTGCCTGAACTACTCTAACAGGCTATTTTTCCTGAAGATTTGGGTTTCAGCAGCAGCATTACACATTAGTAAGTTCACAAGCAATCCTGAAATCAACAGGATAACACAACCGAGCGACACGCGGCAGCACCCCAGCCCTGCAGCGTATTTTCCGCGCTGATCCCAGCACTAAGAGCACCATTCATCCGCAGCACCTCGCAGAGCAAAAACCTACACTCAGCTAGTAATTCATTTTTCTCTCCCTTCAATCATTAGTTTCCAAAGAAAGGAATTAAATCCTCCAAAAAAATCCAGCTTCAGGGTGGTGCAAAGAAAAAAAAAGGGAAGAAAAAAAAAAGATGAAGCAAACTGAGCATTTTATTAGCATCATGGAAAAGGCTGTGTGCAACCTCCCAAAAAGCTGGTCACTGGCCACAGGACACCAGCTCCCAGCAGGAGCAAAAGCCACGCTCTAGCCCCAACCCCAGCACACTTTGTGGAGCCCACCCCAGGGGCAGAACAAAACCCTTCTCACAGACTTTGGGTGTCCTCCGATGCATTCCCAGACACCTTAAAATGGCTCGCAAAGTTCAGATGTACAACTGGAGATAAAGCTGGAGCAGAGTCCAGTGGAGGAAAGGACACTTCATTCAAGTTAATCGTGCCTAGGTAGGCCAATTAACGTCTACCTGCCCTAGCCAAGCCTAATGGACAAAGGAGTTCTGGTGGTGGTGGTGGGAAATCAAAGATCCAGCAGCTCCCAAAGGAGCTGGGAAGCAATGTTTTACGCTCCTCTCCCAGCCCAGACTTCAGCTAGTGGCAAGAAACCTCTCAGCTGAGCTGTTATTCTTCTCAAAGCAGATCCCAGTAGATTTTGGGAAGCTGCATGCGGCCAAATACACCAAGTCTGACTGCTCTCTGATGGGATTTAAACCTCTAACCACATCCACCACTTCCAAAAAGTGGGACTTTGATGGAGGTCACCAAAGCATCCTGAATACATTTCTGTCCTTGATATCAAGTTAGACGTCAACAGAAATGCAGACAGCATGGAAGGGAACTGGGGAAAGGCTGCAACAACTTTTATTTTCATTACTTCCAGGTGGCCTTGGGTCCTGGGAGACAAAAGCTCCTTTCTCATTCCAGGGCAAATAGATCATAAAAAGATAAAAACCTCCTAATCCTCAACCAACTCTGGCAAGATGTTCAGACAAGAAACCGGCTGGGTGCAAGTGGGAAATCCTGCACAAGGGAAAACAAAAGCAAGACACTTCCATGCTTACCATAACATTGCTGGCAACTACCGTGGGATCATTGCAGACAGATTCAATGAAGAACACCTGCGAAGCAAAGCAGAGCTCAACTGAAAGCCACCAAAAAGGTTTGTAACATTCAACCAGCTCCTTGCTCAACCCAGCCTCCTCCCTGCTTGACCAGAGAGCTCTCCCTCTGCCCCACTCCCATCTTTTCCTTCTCCAGGGCTCGGTACTGGGAATGACGGAAGAGGTTCACATTTTTAATCAAACCCAGCAGTGAAATCTCCCTTACACAGGAGCATCATGAGGACAACACGTTAGTGAAAGAAGATACGCCAACAGTACATTAACATGGACTATATGCAATACAGGCAGCAGCCCGATGGTACCAACCTTGAACCCATTTTCTTTGGCAAAGTTTAGGATCATCCCTCTCCTCTCCCGCGTGGTATTGGTGGCATCAAATACCTTTAAAAGCAATGATTTCGATTAGAACCAGGAGTGCCTGGTTTCCCACTGAGCCCTTGCTGAGAGAAGGAACCACGGAGCAAACTGCACAGGGCACAGCGCCTTCGGGACCAGGACTGCTGCCAAACCCCGTGGAGCACAACTCTGAGCTTACCGCAATCTGGCCAGCCTCCTCCGTCAGGTACAGCTTGACATCCCTCAAGGCAGCCAGGGCACATTGCCTGCAAAAGAGGCGAGACACCCATGGTCCTGATGTCCTGAGATGCTCGCAGCAGCCAGCGCACAGACCTCCACAAAGGCAGGCAGGCTTTGCGGCTCCTCCTCACCACCTCCCCCCTCTCCCAGGGACGTTTAGGAAAGACACAAAAAAACCCACAAGAGCCACGTGTGTCGAGCAGCGTGCTGGTCTTCACAGCAGAGGCAATGGTAGATGAAGAAGCAATGGTCAAGCCTCATGGCAGACCTCATACCCTATGTTGCTGAGCCTGAAGATGAATTTAGGGCACCGCTGATGGAGGATGCGTTGGTGACCCTGAAGCTACTAAGCCCATACAGCTTTTCAGCTTTTGGCACCCAAGTGAGGCACTCCTTGGACAAGCAGGGAAAACTCAAGCTAGAGCCCAGTTTTTCTGTTCATCACCCCCCCAAACAAGCTGGGTAACCATGCTGCCAGCCACGGGCTTCGCCACCCATTTGGGACCCCAGTGCGAGCATGGACACGGTGCCCACACTTACCTCCTGACTTTCATGGCCTCCTCGTTGTCGGGGCGGAAGAAGTCATAGGAGCTATAATGCTTCACCGCTTCACGGCGATACTCTCCCACGTTGAAAACTGTGGGAAAGGCAAAGACCATCAAAACCAGGAGTGGGTGTCAGCACAGCTCGACTCGGCCGTGCAGTTTCTGCAGATAACGCTTTCTAGCAATGGGCCAAGAAGTGACATCTTTAGAGGAAAAGGCTCAGGGACATCGCTTGGCCTTCAAAGTCAAAGAGAACACGGGCTGCAGCAGAAGCAATGGGAGGACATGGATATTTGGCCCATGGGATCTTGGAAAGATCCCCCATTATCTCCCACCCCCCAAGGCACTGAGCTCCTGGAGCAACTCCCAAGGACCAGACCTCATGCTTTCCCCAGGCAGCCAGTGAAAGCCTCACCTTTTGTTGGAACACCAATCCAGTTGAGGTAGCGAGTCAGCTTCTTGGAGATGTAGGTCTTCCCGCGGGCTGGGAGGCCAACCATCACTATCACGGTGGGGGAATTGGCAAGCTGCGGCCCACAGGCTACGAGAAGGAGGAGAAAGAACAACATGAGCTGCCACGAATTCTCCAGCTCATCTTGCATCAACCCTACAAGGCACTTGCTCTTCACCCAGCCTTCCCCCAAGTCCTTCAGCAGCAAGAGAAAACCCAAAGCCTCTGCTCCTTATTCACCATCATCATCTCTGCAGTATCTCCTATGCATCCCTCTCTTGACCCTGGAAAACCAAAACTGTGAGCAGGTGAATCCAGTGACTCATTTTTGCAATGGGATCTGCTGAACGAGCATACATTGGAGCAGGGGGCATGGCAGCCGGCTCCATGGCTGCCCATCGGTGAGACACAACTGCCCCAGCTAAGCCATGCTGACCCAAATTCACCCTGGTGCCACCCAAACCGGGAGACTGGAGTCACAGCCTGACAGCTACGGCAAGGAGAACATCCTGACGGCTGCAAAGTGGGCAAAGAACCAGCAGTTGCCCCAGGATCCCTGCAGGACCTCTGTGTCTCAGTTTCCCCATTTGAGGGGGGGGGGGGGGAAATCAAGGCAAATACAGTGTCCCATTCCCACAGTTCAGCCAATTCTGTGAAAAACTAGAGAATGGCCAAGGGCTTTGGTCCAGTCCCCGCAGCAGCACACTTCAGACACAGCCGCTGTGCTGAAATCCCAGGTCTGCACCAAGATCTTCACCCACAGAGAACACCTTCCAAAAACTTTTGCTAGCTTTTTTAGCTGATACACATGCAAACGCAACCAACTAACTGGTTTTTCTGAAGACAAGCAGGGCATGAGGACTACAGAACAACTGACATTTAAAAGCAGTTAAGTGACTTATTCCTTTTTCCTCATAAACCTGTTTTAAGCTGGCTTTGTTGTTGTTGTAAAGAGGGTCCATGTCAAACGGCTGGAAATAAATCCAAAGGCATTACTTTGTGATGACTTGGCAAATGAAGAGAAACTCCTCTCCAATTCACCCTAACGGCATGGCCAAAATGCAGACAAATCAGCTACCAGGCTGCCCAGGTGAATCACTTCTTTCCCCCATAAATCCTTTAGAAAGTAAATTCCTGGTTCAGTTTGGAGGAAATTGCTGAGGTTGCAGGAGTGGGAATGCAGTTTGGGAATTTTTTTAGTCTTCCGCAGCCTGGTCCCAGCACGACGGGATGCGTCTGGACTACGTGGATCGCACGCCCCGTGGACCACATAACGCGGCAGCATCCCTCTCCCGCGGCAGCATCCCTGCTCCTCTCCAGGGTTTGCCCTGTAGAATTCCTTCTCACATGGTGCTGCACACCCGAAAAGGCCAAGGCACAAAGCCAAGCCCTTTAAATAAAGGCAAGGAAGATCTTAACGATGCCTAATGGAATTTGGATTAGCCAGCCGCCTTTCATGCAGGCATGACACACCAAGAGCCCTCCCGGCGAAGGCAGGATAGGCGAGACCCTCCGGGGGATTTTCTCACCCACCCTTCAATCTGTCTGGTGAGCCTGGAGACCTCATGGGAAAGGAATGCAGGGAGTGAGTGCCTGGTGGCAGAGCCATAAAAACGCAGCTTAATTACGGTCTGGGTGGAGAGCTCTGCCTGTCCCAGCTACCCGCAGGTGGGCAGAGCAGATTTTGGGGATGCGAGAGGTTCCCCGGGGATGGAGACCGGGGAGGTGGGTTGGGGTAGAGTTTTCTCAGTGGAGGTCTGGGAAAGGCAAACAGAGTGAGAGGTATTCAGAGAGCATGCAGAGCACGTGGGATTTCCCTCCCCTTCTGAGAAAAAAGATAATAATCCAGCAGCTAAAGGAGCCAAATTAAAGCCACAAGGAAGAGTTACGGCGCTGGTACCCAGAAGGGCAGAGAAGAGCTACCCATCTTGCCAAAGCAGACTCAGCAGGCAAGAGATGAGAAAACCATCTTAAAAGAGGTTTTCTTTTTTTTTTTTTTCCTAAATATTCCACATTCCTCAGGCTGGAGCTGCCCTCATACTCGCTCCCTTTGTGTGACCTGCATCCCCGGTGCCGCGTTTCAAAAGCCCAGGCCAGCTTCCACTGGTTTCGGTAGCAAGCGCCGATTTTGCGTGCTGATGTACCAAGGGAGCTGTGCAAAGTATCCAGAAAAAATATTTTTTTCCTCTTTAACAGTCTCACATCCTTAACCAACCTACAGGTACAAGTCTTGTTTTGCACAAAACCCAACCACTTATTAGATAAAGGGAGGGGGGGAGAATAATACCTGAATAAAGAAACTCCTCCTTTCCCTACCTGCCAGCGGACAAAGGATCTCAAAGAGCAGAGCCAAGAGGATTTGGGGCGAAAAGGTGTTGCGGGAGTTAAACACCTGTATTTGAGGAATCTCCCCCCCAATTCAGTTTGCTGCCAAAGGAAAGATCCAGGTTCCCCTTGGACCATGAAAAAGCATCTGTTTTACAGACCTGGGAAGCACCTCCCAAAACACCCAGGCATGAAGCGTGCAGCTTTTTATCAGGAACCTGAGCCCAAACCCAGCTAAATCACAAAAGCCTCCGGGAAACTTTGCATCAGGGTTGTAACAGAAACCAGTGTTTTGCTCCCGGTGCTTCACAAAGACCTAATTCATCATTTCCTTTCACCACTGCTGGAAAGCTATCAGGGATTTCAATGCATATTTATTACTCGTTATCGACATCTATCCAGGTAAGTCAAGGTCAGGGATGACTTTTGAAAAGCTCAATCGGGATATTGAGAAGTAGCTCGTCACTTGTGCCTTCTATCTGCTAGAAAGCTGGTGTCAGTGCGCTCTCATGCTTCACCGGAGTGAAAGGAAGAGGAAAAAAAAAAAAAAAAAAAAAAAAAAAAAAAAAAAAAAGGAAGGAAATTTGCTTCTATAAAAGGTTCGATAAAATAGCTACCTCCCCATTTCAGGCATTTTTACTGTCTCCTCATAAGAAGCGTTCCCCTGCGCCTCCCCCGAGCCCACGCCATGCGTTCCACGTTAGCCCTACGTTCCCCTTTTCCAGCTTCTTCCCATTGCAATTGCCCGACGCCTTCGCGGATGCTCCGAGCACGCGTTTCTGCGCCGCTCACGCGCGCGCAACTGATATCGCCCTGCTGACGCGCCAGCTGTGGTTCTATTGGGCTTTATTTTCCCCATCCCCTCGTCCGCCGAGCCAGAGCGATGGGAGGAAAGAAAAGCAGCGGCAGCCCCTTTCCTCTTCCAGCATCCCCCACCGGAGCCCCCTCCCCTCGCCTGGCTCTGCCCATCCAGCCGCCTGCGACGACTTGACTTTCCCAGCCCCTACGTGAGAGACGTGCAGCTTGACAGCAATTTAATGGATCGCCGTCAAAAGGCCAGATGAAGGCATCACTTCGCATCCATTCCAGTGGACGGGGAAGCGGACAATCGGACTAATTATTTCACAGGCGAGGAGCGGCCGGGCGGGAGCTTTCCGAGGATGCTCCCAGGGATGCTCCCGCTCCCTCCTCCCCTCCGGGGACCGCATCGGCCTCGTGTCTCTCTCATACCTCCCTTCCCACCCGGCTTTGTGGCTCTGCTCTTTGTTGCTACCGAGGAATTAATAGCACCTCGAGTTTAAAATAGGCACCTTGGGTTTAAAGAAAAAAAAAAAAGACCTAAAAAAGACCAATAACGCTCTTCTCATAGAGCGCAGTGAGCGGTTGCCCAGCATGGCTCGTTCCCACCCCGAGAGAAAATAATTAGAAGCCACATCACGGTATTAATGAGCCCCTCGGTGCCTTAATATATTACAGTATGTTAGTTTTCTACTCTGCCAAGGAGGGAATTCTCTCCTCTGAGAAACCAGTTGACTAAAGCAGCAAAAGACACAGGGAGGCTCCGCGTACACGAGGGATTTCTTTCAAAGGTGTCGGCCCTTGAGAAAAATCAAACCGAACAGATACATCTGCAAAGCATTAAGCCAGGAGACATTTTACCCTGCTAAAAGCAAAGCCCCATGGCAACCCAGATGTTCAGCCTGTTGCTGAAAGCCATTTCCTCAGCAGCTTCTGCTGCAGAACTGCCCTTGCCAAGCGCAGGCTGCATGTGCAGACATCTGCTGTAGGGCTCAGACATCCCTCGCCGCATGCCTGACCCATAGCCATGGGGCAACAACACGTGGCAAATCCATAGGATATTTTTTTATTATTATTTTTTAAACGGGGGAACTTTCCGGCCAAGGGAAATCAACATCCAAAGCGACTCTAAAAACGCCTGCTCAAGAAAAGCATCGGAAAGACTGATTCACCCAACTGCCCAAGCCACTTCCATCCTTTGCCAGGCTGCGAAGTGCCACCTCCTCCGTCCTGGCTTTCCACAGCCCCGGATCTGCGGATTCCTGCGACGCTTATTTAGAGTTACGCGGAGTTGCACAACTGGCAGGTTGTCAGTTTAGCTGTTGGGCGAGTTAAAAGAGCTGTCTCTCGAGCTTTAGTATTGTATTATGATTCATGATTTGTTTTATAGTAACACCGGGATGACCCAAGCGGTTTTTTTTTTGGTTGGTTTTTTTTTTTTTAAGCGCAGAGGTTGGTTTTAAACACTCGGGATGCTTTCTGAGCTTTGAAAAGAAGGGAAGCCACTGCAGAAGTTTCAGCATTAATTTTTGCCCTCCCCTCCACCTGCCTCCTATCTCATCCCAAGCACAGCACAGGGGTAAAGTGGTAAAGTGCAAAAACCTGGTGGTTTTTTTCCCCCAAATCCACTGCCCTAATCCTAATCTGCTGCCCCCACCCAAAAAAAAATTTAATAAATCACTAATAAATCTCAGAGCCAAGTACCAGACACCCTGGAAATCCCAGCTGAGCTGGTACCTGGGTGTTGAGCTTAGATTCCCTTTTAATCCCAGGGCTGGAGGTGGCGGCGGGGGGG